TATTGTGATAAATTTTATGAGCCCCAATAAATTGATTAAAAAAATAATAAATAAAAAAAAAAAAAGATAACTCATTAAAAAAAACACTTTACTTTTGTTTCTCAGTCTTATAAACTATTTTATGAAATGAAGGTTCAGAGTAGAAATTTGATACTTAAGTAAATCTTCCAGTTAATATTTCCAAATTTTAATCATACTGCTTGCTCTCCATGTGCCTGTTCATCTAAACTTGGAGTTTCTGAAGGGGTATACATGTCTAAATAGTAATGCTAGAAAAATATAGACCAGGAACAAAAAACCAAAATCATCTTACATCTAAATATTATATCACAGCAGAAGAATCACACCATTTTAGTGCAACAGCTTTGATGTATGAAAAAAAAAATGGTTTAACCATTTTAACTACCAAATTTTAAGTTCCTTGTTCACCAGTACTATTCACCCTGTATTTCCTTATTTCCCATATATGGTATGTATTATGTACTAAGTGAATTAAGAGTTTCGGGGGAAAAAATGGTGGTAGAAATATAAAAAAATTAAAATGAATTACCAACTGAAATATTATTTCTTTTCAATATTTGATGACATGAACCATAACAATAGGAGGCATAGTAGATATAGGTAAAGATCTCTTCAGGTATCGTTCAAGTTTTCAAGTCCAAACCAGTCCTTGTTATGATAGGGTAGTGTGACCCTGGGACATGCAGAGTCTTAGAACTCTCGAACGAAAGGATAGAATAACTTGAGATGCATTCAAGTATTTCTTCCCATTTGTTGTAAAAATGCATTTTCACTTGTTCAAAAACCAGAGGATACCAACCTATCAAATTTAATATCATACTGGACCAAAACATCTGGATAATAAAATGACAAATATTATTCAATCAAACAGATCTCATTTGAGAAGAAAAAAAACCAGGAAGAATTCTAGAAAAGAAGCAATCTATTTTAAGGTTCTGTAAGAAGATGGCTAAGCATAATGGGCAAGGGTTATAAAGAGAGTAAATAGTATTTCTGGCCTTCTGGTTCCAAAGAGGCCATCTCCCGAGCATATAGACTAGTATGGAGCAGCACACAATTAAGCAAAACATTAAAAACTCATTATCTACCTTTGCTTTCTTGGAACATAAACAAACACCTACAAATTTTGGGAATAGCCATGCTCTAATTTTAATATGCTTACAAAATCACAATATAACCATGTTATTGAAATCCTAACTGGTGCACTTCACTATTTTCAGATTCGCCCATTTTTTTCTCTAAATCTGGGAGAAACTTTAAAATTACCAATTCATGTATTATTTAATTAGGTAGTCATCAAGTCATCACAGAATTAAGAGATTACCTAAAATTTACACTGTCATTATATAATCCCACATATTATATGTAAAAGGAGTATTAAAGTATAACCGCCCCCCCCCCACATATCTCTAGGCAAAATCTCCAAGTACCAGTCAATGTATAAGGAACATTTCTTCTCCAGAAATGTTACAAAACTGACATTTCCGTGGCCTTTTCAAATTCATAAACCAGTAGCACAGTAAAAACAGAGGCAGGCAAGGGCTCAGTCATCCATTAATATAGTTATTTTAAAAAGGTCTTGACTCTGTGCTGTGTTTTAAAGCACAAATTCAAGAAAAAGAACCTGCAATATACTTGGCTTAGAAGATATGAACACATACTTTCATTCTCTGATTGTTCTAATTTTAAACATTTGCAAATGGTCTAAGAAAGTACTAAATAGCCAAGTCAGAGACATTTATTTTATCAGTTCCTTATACATGTTCAAGACACTAACATTAAGAAAACAAGATACTGTTATAATGAACAGATCTCATCTCAATCTCCACCAACACCCAAATATTCATCACACTTCTTGGCTTTACTGGTATATTTAATATGAATTATGATGTGACATATATGAGCATATCTGAATGCAAATCTTATTGAATCTTAATTATGGAAGTTTATTTGCATTTTGCATACAGATGACAACTGTGAATGAATTTCTGTGCTAAATGTGTAGCACTAAACCTTTATCACCACTGGTTTAAGTCTAATTTTCTTTTCCTAACTAATTTAATTTAGAAAAACTGTTAACTCTAAAGATATACGATAACATATATCGGAGAATTATTGGATTATGTCTATTTTGTGAATCTTTGAGCATTATTAATCCTTAAGGTATTTTTGTAAAAAAACATTCTATACATTAAAATAAAATGTAATTTTCTTTTGTGGTATAATTTTATCTACAACTAAGTAAATACTAGAAATAACAATGAAGAGATAAAATCCACCATTCATATATTTCAGAGGCTACCATTATGTTTACCCCAGGAAACAATATTTGTATCCTAAGCTTCTACTAAGTGAAAAGTGCCAGACTTAGTCTTGTACAATAAATACAAAGAGCGCAGACAGATAAGAAAAAGACGTCTGTGAATGCCTACAATTCAAGGAACTCTGCAATGCCATCTGAGCAGCAATACAGAAAAGGAACCATAGGAATTTGGATGAAGGGTATACTGGTTCCAGCTAAGGTAAGGAAGGAAGAACAAGCTAAAAGAGTTGTATGCATTTGTGTAGGGGCTGAGGCAAGGAGAAAAAGGAGTAAATTTTAGGGTTTGAATATTCCTTAACTATTAAGATTTATTGCACTAGAAATGGGCTTGTCAAGTTATACGAATAAGGATGGAAGAATAAGGTTTGTCTGGAAAGAAGACTTTTGCTATAGTAATTTCACTCAATTTTTTTAGTATTAAAATGGCTATGGAAAATTGATGTAGGCTCGGCTTTAAAAGATACTCACTGGTGTGGAGTCGATTCTGACTCACAGCAACCCTACAGGACAGGGCAGAACTGCTCTTGTGGGCTTCCAAGACTTTAACTCTTGATGGGAATAGAAAGCCTAGTCTTTTTCTCCTGAGGAGCGGCTGATGGGATTCGAACTGTGGGCCTTACCGTTATGCACAAACTAACTACACCACCTGTGCTCCAGGGCTCTAAAAAAGCTATGAACAAAAGACACTGCTGCACCGAATACAGATAAGAAGGCCCATTTTTTACATAACAGCAAAAGACACTATTTAGTGACGGGATCTAAACAACATGCAGCTCAAAGCACACACAAAAATGCTAAAAATCCCCAAGCAACTTCAAAATCAAAGGAAAAATGGTCAGCTAGTTTAAAAGAACTCCCCCAAAAGTCAGCAACAGTCCTAAGCAAATCTTCGCTAGTTTATAGCCCGATATAATATAATCTTCCACGAAAAAAGAAGTTCCCTCCCCCCGGTTATTTGGAGAAACTGAACACTTCTGGGCCATTTGGCAAAGGCATAAGGCACAAGCCATCTACAAGAACAAGAAACATTTATCATGTTCTATGGTCTTCAATTCCTTGCCACTACTACATGACTTTTCAGTATAAAAGGGGAGGAAACTGGGGAGGCAATCAAGGAAAACTAAGTAATTTTAGTTTATAAAATTATTCTTCTCTCAGAAGTGATTTTTAAAAAAGGCAACATAGCTTATTACTTCTAAATGAGCACCATTTATTGTGATACTTACCACATGGCATTTTCACACTAAGTAATTTTCAAAGGAATTCATTCTTTTTTTTAAAGAATTCATTCTTTAAACAGTAGGCTCAAAATTATTTTCCTCAATATTTGCAGGTCTCTTTGAAACTATTTCAGATTTTTAAGATGCAAAAGCCATTCTCAAACATTCAAAATTATTTGTCATTTTTTCAAAGACTCTTCAGTAGAGAGTGCTCTGGTTTTCAATGTCTTGTTAGGTAAATCACTGCGAAACTTTGCAGTCAATTTCCAAAGGCTGTAAAGGGTTACATTTCAGTTTACACCCAGCAAGAAAATGAAGCAGATAATGAAGCTGCCACTTGTACATTTTACATATCACGCTACACTTACGACAACACGATATTCATGCAGAATGTTGCTCTTTGCTGTAATCTTTTTTGGCTTAATATATCACAAAAAAGTAGCAACGCCCCCCACCACGCCCCCCACTCCAAGTAAACAAAACACCAAGGTGGTTATATCTACAAAAAGAATGAACATTTTCTCAGCTTTAAATGGAAAATGTGTTAATATCTAGCATCTTTGCCAAATCAAAAATTTAAATACACTAATAATGATGGGTAAATAGAACATACACAAATATTTCCAATTTTCATTATCACAGATGGAAAATAATAATGTTGTTGTAATATCAATCACTGACAAAGCTGCAGTTCCAGTTAACAAACAACTTTTAGTGTCTGCTATTAGAGAGAAAAGGCTGACTTAAGATCCATGCTTTACCAGCTCTATGAATATGTCACAATTGCCAATAACAGATTCAGCAGCATTTCATTTTGCAGTGAAAAGGTGCCCGTAAAAATATAGGCATATAAATATGTGTATGTATGCCCATTCCAAATTTTTAAATGGAAAAGTAACAAGAAGCTAAGGCAAGGATATGTATTTTAAAACAGCTTACCTTTCGTCCATCACTTGCATGGCAATTCACATTTAGAGGAGTCAGTAAAGCCATTAGTTTTTCTTCATTACCACTCCTATAAAAAGGAAATAAATCAGTTTCTATAAAACTATAGAGCTTCTTATAAACATACATGGGTATTTTTCACAAAAATTGAAAATAATCTTGGTTTTTAAAGATATCTTTTATAAGGATCGCTCAATGAATCTTTTTCTCTATAAAAGTGAATTTAATTTATTTCCAATTAATTCCTCTTAATCATTATATGGAGGTACATCTTGAACGATACAACTTTCTAAATTATTTGCTTTATTTGTCATCAAGTCACCCTCTTAATTATCAACAAACTTTATTCTGTTAAGTAATCTAAAACACTGGAGTGAAAAATACATAGAAAATGCCATAACGAGGTAATCAATTAAATTATAAATGATGAAGAACAAAAGAAAATGGATGGGAATTCTAACATTTACTTTATGGCCCTTAGTCCAGCTTTGCTAGGAAAATTCAGAGTCAAATGAAAGGCTCGGCATTTAAGTACTCCAATAATATCTTTTGAAACGCTGGGCAAGTAAGGTTTGCAAGCACCTAAGAAATGTTTCCAATGAAATTAACCTTCTAATCATCACCATAGTGAAAGACTTTATCATTACATCCACTGGTCTTGTTTTTTAAAAAGTATACAGAAATTTTGAGTAAGGTTTTAGCCACATTACCACTAAAATCCAAGCAAGACAATAACATGTTAGAATTTCTCTAGTCCTCCACCTGCCCTCCCTTCTCTTCTCCCTTAAATGCATTGTACTCACTTCAAATGAATGGAATCACGTACCTAGCAGCTTCTAGGAGTTCGTCTTTCTTGTATTCACCTAGATGATTGCAAAATATCATGCTGTTAGCATTTGGCAGAAGACAGATTAAGAAATGCAGTAGGCAGCAAACAGAGAATTAAATAGAGAAGAACAGAAAAGAGAGTCCACACCCCGCTGGGTGATGGAGCCGTGACGTTAGCCAGCTTGTGAAGGCAGCATCACCAGTGCCTTGGAGACGGGCAGCAAATTGACGCAGCTTCTTGTCCAATCCTCAGATGAAATAGCTTTCTTCCGACAACCAATGAATGCTAAATCTCGTGTCCAGAAACACAGTCCCTCCAGATAACAGCATGCCAGCTGAAGACAATGTCCCCTTCCCCCTTTCTATTCAGGCCGTCACAGTATACTTGGGAAGCATAATACATTCTGAGACAAAAGCAAAATAATGTGGCTCTTTAAAGGTACAAATTACGAGTCTTCCAAACACTCCGTTTTATTTGTAATGGCATGGAAAGTTTTTAAAAATAAAACCCCTTTATACTATTGTTAGGCATCACAGCACTAGAAAATGCAAATATCAGAACCACGAAGCCTTTGCCTCTATAGGGTGGTCTGTAGACTAGAAATACGTGAACTACGTACCAAATGCTATGAGCCTCTTGGAGGCAGCGCCCCCAAAACCCATGCAATGATACATTCCTAATGTCAACAATATTTTAATATGATGCAAATGTTCATCTTCTATACAAATTTAGTGTCAAATTTTAATCAATAATAAATATAAAAAAAAATTATTTTTAAAGAAGGCTGGGATCTCTGAGAATGAGCAGAGAGCCAACTACTGCGATGCAGGTAATTTTTCTCCAGGTTATTTTTTTCACAATGGATTTTTTTCATCTATTACCCACTATAACCAGAGATATAATTTAAAACCTTGTATAACAAATATCTTAGGGTGTTCAAGATCTAGCAAACAAGTTTCTTTTGCAAGTTCAATTGAGGGACAATGAAATTTGAATATAGCATAAGTTCACTCAACAAATAAAAACAGTCGGAACTATGATTCAGCTATATTATGCTGACTCAATGTGTAATATCATTAAAAAAATAACTACACAAAATGTCTTAGCAAATAATTAGATAAAAGAATATAAAATGTATATGTAAGAAGTAAACTTTAGATTAAATGAAAATTTTAAATTATATTATTAGCTTATAATATTTTAAAAATACTACCATTGCACTTTTTTTTCCTTTGGGGAATAAAATATAGAACACTGATGAAAATACTAGAAAGATACTGTAAGATCACTAAACACATGTTTAAGTTATTTACTACTTACCATTAAAATATTATTTTTCCTTATATTTTTATCTTGCTTTTTGGATTAAGATTAAATTAATATCCAGAAACAATCACAAAGCATTTTCCAGTAAGAAAACATTTTTTAAATAGCATTTTTCCTCTAACGGAATTTCTATATCAGTAAAGTTACAAGTTCACAATATACACTGATAAGATGGAATGTGCAATTTCATGATTAAAGTAGTTATTATTCAAATTTCCCATACACTGATTTTATTTTCCCTAATTGATTGGCTGTACAATCCATATTATTATGTCCTTTGGCCAATGAAGTTGCTTGCCTTCCCAAGTCAAAACCCTATTTTTAACAAACATAAAATTTTAGCCATAGTGAAACATGAAGCCAATAAACGAGGTAATAACTGCAAGGTGTTTGGGGTCCCTACAGTTCACAGCAGTCCGCCTACATAAACTGTGGCAATATAGATATAACAGAGTCCATTTAAAGGCTCTTCATATCTTCAAATGTCTTAAGAACAAGATTAAAGATAACAAATATATCAATAATTTGTAGACAAAGGAATAGAAGATAATGGCATTTTTCCATGAACTTTTTTAATGCTCCTTCATATATATGTCACTCAATCTGTCCCCGTATAGTCATTGAAAAGTCTACATACCAGATTCAAACCTACAATGGCACTATTTTATCAACTCTGCCCTCAAGGGGTATTAGTCTATTAAAAGAAACAAGCACACAGCCAAATGTTTACTGTAGAGTGTGGACAGTATCTTAGTACAGTGTGCTATTAGGGCTCTCAGGTCTGTCTAAAAGGGAATTAGGTGGGATAGTCGAAGTCTAACGAGGGTTTCCTAGACTCGGGGTATTTGCGGAGTCTTGAAAAAAGAACAGGTGAAGGAGGGTGAGGGAGAAGAAAGCAACCAAAATAAGAGACAGGAAAGGAAGCAGTCGCTGCGTCGGTCTGAAGCACAGGATGCTTGCAGGGGAATGGGTGATAGTGAGACAGAGAGGAAACAAAGTCCACAAATGGTTCTCTAAGGTAAGAAGTGGGAACTGTTTTGAAAGCAATGAAGAACTACTGAAAGATTTGAGCAAACAGATGTAATACATAAAGACCTACAAGTTCATGATTGCATACCATATTTCCAATACATTACCCTAATGAACTTTAATGATGGGGGGAGGGGTGCCCTCCTCCCACCAAAAGGGAAAAGAGAAGAAGAATGGAATGGACAAAAGGAAGAAAAGGAAAACAAGGAATTCTTGCAGAGTTTATATTTTGGAGTAAATATACATTCCCTGATAAAACATAAAATTCATTGTGAGTTGAAAGTAGCTACTATTGAAATCAGTCCACCTACATAACTGGACTTCTCATTAAGCCTAGATTATTGACACTTTCATCAAAAGGTATATTTGGGGGGAGGAGGGTGCTATCTCCTCATGGGTGTGCTGATAATAAAATGCAAATATTTAAGTGCATATAACATGGTCTGACAGATAATTACAAATGCCTTTTTACTCCTGTTCTTAGATACCGTAGCACTTGAATCAGCTCTTCTGCAATACATCTCAGCATCCACTATCTGGTGCCCGAGGACCACAATCCATAAACAGTTGAAGCTATTTTTCAAATGCCACATTGCAGACACAACTAACATAATGAATTCAAAGTCTCTCAAAGGCTCTGACAGCAAATCTGTGCTGCGTATTTTACAGCCAAACCACCAGTTCTATTTCCTTTTAGCCTAGAATCTGAAAATATTCTGGTGGAGACGATGGTGCTCTATGGAGCATTTATATTCTTTAATAACACTAGCAATAGATCAGCCAGAAAGCAAGCGAGGCAATTATAGACAAGAGAATAGCAGCAAGGAATGGAGAAAATAGATGGCTGAAAACATTTTTCTTTGATTAGAAGTGGGATTTTAAAAATCAAAACAAAAAAACAGCTACAAAGTTTGATTTTCAGTGGCTAAATAGTTATTATTAATCAAGCAGCGAGAGACATTATATATACTAGTGTTGGTGGTGGTAGTTCCTGTCAAGTCAATTCCAGCACATGGGATTCAAAGCTGTGACCTTTGGATGCCAGTCGCCTTTGTCCTTTGGTACCACACTGAGGTTCTGACTCACAGTTCCAGCCTCACAACAGTTGCTATCGCTGCAGACACACACATATATATCACATACCAGTTAATGTGTGAAACAGCTGTTATCAGAATGAACACTGAAAACAAAACTTTCTATTTCTTTGAGATAGTCAGAACCCTTGGCTAAATATAAAGGCAAAACTACTCTTTTAATTAAAATTATGAAAACCTAAAAAAAAAACCAACCCAAAACAATAAAATCAATTTATGAAAACCTATGTTAATAAGTTGAAGTCAGGAGTATTAACCTACCTTAATTTCAGCATTTCAAGGGACTTTTGCCTTTTATCCAGATCAAGGTGGACTAGTTTTGTATATCAGAGTCATATTCACAGATAAAGCGTCATAGCTAAGGTAGAGGGCGAGCGCACAGAGACGCCCCGCAGGGAGTGGCCTACGACAGTGGTGGCAGCCCTGGGCTCAAACCCAACGGTGGTTGCGAGGACGGCGTGGAATTGGGCAGCATTTCCCTCCGCTGTACCCAGGGTCACGATGAGTCAGAACCCAACCCATGTTGAACATATTTTCACCATAATTTGTTAAAGTGTTTTTTACTGTTTCAGTTGTCTTTGTTGAGATGGAATAAAATGAAAAGATTATAAACAGAAATCCCTACAGAAATAGGGACTAATGCATAATTTGGATCTTTCTTTTCAAAATCATACATAATGTATGTTTCTTCGTAATATCTCATTATATGCAACAATCAACAGAGTATGTGTGAGGGTGCACTTCGAAAGTGTTCCTTTTCTCCTTGCCACTCTCAATTTTGAAATCCTCCTAAGAGATCACCAGCAATGTGTTCATTTACAGGTAATGAATCTGGCACCAGGGTAGTTAAATGGACTGTCTAGGATTTCCCTGAGTAGCCACAATCTGTCAGGTCTGGAATTAGGCTACTCTGTGAGCACAAACTAACCAAATTTGAGGTTTGGAGGAAGGGGTGTTGATGAAACAAAAGGGAAACAAAATAATCACATTAAAGCAATTTTTTAAACCATGAGTTATTCAAATTAAATAGGTAACTCAAAATTATAAAGAGAAGTCAAAGTTGTCCACCAAAACTATCTTAAAGTTTTTAAACTTTCAGATATACTTGTAAAAATTGGCAAATACCATTATGTTAATAATGCTTTTATCCTTTAGTTTACTTAACACTTTGCATTAAGAAAACAGAAATGAAGAAAATATATCATCTACTCAAATGAACAATGCAGTTTGCCTTTCCCATAGTATGCTTTAATTCCCAAGCGTCCTACATGTTCTAAGAGAAAAGCTAGATGAAGATTTTAGTCAAGAATCTCAGTTATCAGGTTAAAGTGCAGGCTCATACACTATGTTCCAAGTGCCACTGTGAACTGATAATTCTGACACATAGATTTTCTCCATTAAGGTGCCAGCAAATAATGAGTTGAGCTCAATCCTGCAGTCCCAACGACAGACTATTTTGGGAATAAAATATTACTTTAGGTGACAAGTTTCATCGTGCTTTCACTAATAGGTTTAAGAATTCAGAACTAGTTATCTTGGCTGGGGAAGGAACTTATTAACTAAAGCACTAGGAGACAGTCACGTG